GTGGGGGGAGAGGTGCTGATGGGGCAGAGGCATTCTTCGTAGTGGGGTTGCTCTTCGCCGGTTTCGGGGTGGGAGATGGTGGACATTGTTTGGAATAAGGGTGGCTTGTTGGAAGGAGGCTGGGTTTCTGGCTAGCAGGTTGTTGAGGTGGAAGATGATCTGTGAGAATACGCAGATAATGTTTGGCCCAACAAGTATTTGCTTGAGCAGTTCGTCGACGAGTAGATTGAAGAGATTGATGGTGATGGAGACTAGGGAGATGGTCGTGGTGGTAGTAGGTAGTGGTCAGTAATATATATGAGAGAGTTATGCAGCAACCAAGCGTCAGTCACAGAGCGGGGTGAAGTCCCGCTTTTGACTGATATCTTTCGTTTGTTAACGCGATCAGTGGAATAGACCGGGTTTCTGATGCCGCTGGCAGTACTGCTTGTGAGTCCTTTATTCACAGCCATCAACCTTGCGCCCCAAGGTCTCGAAAGTAACCCGCAAGACTTCATTTCTGTCTTCGGAGAGCGCGTCAGTAATGTCATGGAATCATCGAGCCATAAGCATGAATTCATTTCATTGCACATCCGGTAACCTCACTGCTATGTCTCCCGATTGAGTGATATATCTGACCCAAGGTAGTGAGGGATATTGCAGCTAGACGTGTGCGAATTAGCTTGGATTCAAGAATATCACAGTGAGAAGCACCGACCTTTGGTTCTATGATCTTCAAGTACCGGACCTGAATGCCACTTGTCGTAAAATATGGAATCTCGAACTTGACGTTGATCGGTCTTCTCGACTTGCTTTCGCCTCTGACACCACCCATGCTTCCTCCAAACCCGCCAGTCATGCCACCTCCGTGCTCGTCGTCTCCTTTCACGCTTGGCAGGCCTAGTTCTGCGCGCATCAGGAATTCTTTTCCACCACCAAATTGCTTGATCTTCCAGACTATTGCGGACTTTTCTGGAGCATAATGCACAGATCCGATGTTGGTACGGAACCTTGGTGAGTCGGCATCGTCTGGAACCGGTATTGAGATCTCCACGTTGTTTGCTGTGGACCGTCGTTTAAACTGTGCTTTTGCCTACGAACCATTGGTCAGTTCCGGACTTCAATCTTCCCCAGATGCTTACCTTGAGCATATATTCTATTCTTGACCCAGAATGAGACTCGACAACACACTCGACCCAGATCAACGGCTTGACTTGTGTGTTGAGTCGATAGCTCATGAGCTCGAATTCACCATCCGGAGGAATAAAGGAAATCGTTCGATCATTCTCAAACCGACTCAATCGTACGCATTGATGGAACTTGACGTCTTCCATCTCTACTGCCTTCCCTCTTGTCGATCGCCCCGTGGTCTCGAACATGACTTTGTCGTTCAAACCTAGCCTGAGCTCCGGCATTCCAGACAAGTAGCATTTCATCTTCACAGCGCCCAAGATTTCAGATCGCAGCACACTGCCGGTCGAAGAAACGAGCAGGTTGAGAGATTCGATGACATCCAAAAATACCTCGTTCTTGCGATATCGAATCCCTTCGCTTCGCCATGAAACTGCATTTGTGACGGCAATTGGTGGTCGTGCTTGAATTTCCAGCTTGTGTGATTCTTGCGTGATATATCTAAAATCTGTCAGCGACATCTTGCTCAGATCAAAACGCACCATGCGGCAGAGGCTCAAAGCGTAGACTTACTCCTGCAATATCTTAGATTCCGTCGTCTGCGGGTATCCGAAATCCATCATTTCGTCGAGCAACTCATATATGATGACGAAGTTGTCTCGTATGCTCTCCTCTTCAAGTTCTTTGAAGTACTCTGTAAAGACTTCTACAATTTTATGTAGGAAAAGCAGGATCTCAGCGGCATTGGTATTCCGTTTGGTCAGCGCAAGGAGGTAGAGATTGTTGTGTCGTATGTAGAGGTACTGAGCAGGTGTCAGTATATAGATTGCTGAGCGTCCACACGAGCGAACATGTCTGTCCGAGGGACAAAAGAGGCATGGCGTACATTGATTCCTTCATCAGAAAAGCAGGGAGGCACAGCAGAGGACTCTTCTTCTGCTTCGGACAGGAGGATGGGAAACTTCTCCACTGCTGACATCGGTATATCTCCTCGATAGTTACGTGCCAGGAGGGTCTGTGAAGGAGTCAATGAATAGTTGCTTTGTGCAGGAAGCCGTATGCGCACCTTGCCCTTCAGGTCGAGGAAGAACACAGCGGAAGCCATGCTGGTTTGGTGATGGATGTGCTTGAGGGACACGGGGGATTTTGTCACCGCTTTAGCACAGGCTTGACTGTTCTGATGCAACCCATATGCTCACCCAGATCCTCATAAGGCACTGAATATGTATGCCTAGCAGGCGATCACAGAGTCGTTCCATTTCCCTCCTTGACGTGCGGGATTCCACTCCGCACGAAAAAGGTTAGCGTTATTTGCGGACACGATCAAAAACTTCGCCGCCCAACACTTGGGGTCCTACACAACGCTCTCCCATAGACAGTGCAATGCAGCATTACTACGCTCGATCTGGCATTCTGCCATGATCTACGTACCCATCAGTTGTTGATCTTTGCGATTTCGAGACGCGGAGAGTGATCTTTTCAAGGTCCGATAAGAGCTGGCCAAGTATTTTCATGGTTGCTTGGGCGGTGTCAGATGGACCGGACAGGCGAACCGGGCTCTCTATGCACTGTCTTCTTATATGTACAGATTGATTGGATGGAAGTGGATGCGCTGAAATGCTGTGATCGCTCACTTCAAGGCAAAGCGACTATTCAACTAGCTCCTCCTTCGAATGTTCCAGTATCTGTGACCGCACTCCCAGCGGAACTATTATTCGTTCCCTTACTATCCGGTTTGCTTCGCCTCCTCCTCTTTCGAGAGCAACAGCTCCGGCGATGGCAAAGACTGCCTGTGTAAGGACCATTTCAAATCCAGATGCGTGAAGACTTTCAGGCTGCAGGAGACTTAGACATCACCTTTGGCTGTGGTAGAAGCATTGTAGACTCACCTTTCTTGGATTCCACCGTACCACGTGCTGCAGTCCGTATCGTTGCGACATCTCGGATATTCGTGAATGATGCAAAAGATGTGCTCTAGCACCACCATTGAGAACCTCGATGCCTTCAGTAGCAGGATGTTGAAATGGTGTGCGCCCGTGTGGGTCTTTCGCCACCTTGAAGACATCCCGAGTAGATGATCCCAGGAGCGCAAGACTCATTTGAAGCTCGACGATACGTTTGCCTGCAGTCAACCACACCCCAATTAGATCCAGTGCTCCAATCACATAGAACGATTGCAGGCTCACCTAGGTACGATAATCGATCATTGAATCCTCTCCTCCCATGATCAAAGCTTTTATGTGTAACAGCAAGCCATTTGGTCTCATCCGTCAAAATGCTGTCTCCCCCAGGTCCGAGGAATTGTACATAAAACGAATCCAGCTTTCTGGGGTCATCGTTTACCTTCCAGATTGCTTCGCGCCGTGGCAACCTCGATCGAACGGGGGCTGCCATGGCTGGGGGAGTAAAAGCCCATCGAGGTCTTTCTTCGTTATCCACCTCCATCTCAGAGTGCTGTGGAGCAGCGGTAGACACATTTCGTAATGGGAGAGACGCGTTGGTTAGGCGAAATTGATTTGGATTTGCGCAAGTCGAGCGTCGGCGCGCAGGATGGAAGACGTCGAGTAAGGCCCTCGTAGATGATGTGTTTGATCTCGGTGCCATCGAATGAGAAAAGCCTCGTGTCTTCCCAGTCCCTTGTGTTCAATGGCTTCCGCTGAAGACAGATGCGCCAGGCTTCGGATTGACAGAATATGCTCACGTGACCACGCTTCGAATGTCCAGTTCGTTCTCCTATTGACTTCTCGACGCGACAATTTGTATGACTCTGTAGGTGAATTGGATTATCTGCATTGGGCTATCATTTGGGTCATGCATTGGGACTATGGCGAATAAGGAGTCGATTTTGGAGACTTTAGCAGCCGCGCTTCCTTTGGATCTCGAATTGCATTTCTACCACATTTCTACTCCTCCAGCACCAACAACAGCGCTCTTCTCCCCACCGCCCGGCCAGAGCGAGGAGCGGACATTCTGTGAAAATCACTTCATAGCCGCATCGTTGCCTGCGAACAACGTCTTGAGAAGAGAGCTTCTGATCTTTGCGATAGAAGTCCTTGTGTTCACCTCTCATGATCTCACCACAATATTTGTTTCCAAGGCGGACTCGACTGGCTACCTGCATCTGCTCAACTCACAGCCAGGCGGTCCTTCTATCATCAAGACCATCTGCACAACTGTTCTTTCATTCTTCGTTCAACAAAGCTTGCACGGGCCTCGCATTTTGCTCTCATTATTTGCACGATCGCAGAATCAATATTTGTTCCCTGGTAGCATTGAAAATTCTGGCAAACATGTCCTAGAAGACCGACAACTGATCAAGTGGTGGTGTCAGACACTTGATCCTGTTTTGCGAGAGCATGCACCCACCACACTCGCTCCCAGTCCGGTCCCTGGCTCAGATACTTCCTCAGAAGCGTATATAGTCGTGCCCGGATGTGACAGGTTCGAAACAAGAGGGTTTTTGCCATCAAGCACCAAATCAGACTCAGTATCAAGATGGACTAATAGCTACCCGCGAGATTTGATTGTGCCGGATGGCTCGGCTCCTCCAAGATGCCTGATACCAAGATTTCCCGATGACCCCAAGGCCCGCTTCCTTGACGACTTGGACTCTGAAATCTCTGCCGCGGACCTGTCTACGACTGGTTCTTGGAGAAGTGTTGGGACATTGGATCATTTTTGGGAAATGATGTCCTATCGGCAAGAATGCTCGGCTGGTCGGCTTGTTGGCTTTATCTGGATTGTCTTTACACCGCGACGACACGGAGAGATTTCACATGATCCTCCGGTAAACTGTCCTCAAGAATCTGCTGAACACTCAGGCCAGGCAGTTGAACAATTGCCAACGCCCAACCAGTCGCAGGTCAATAGTCTTGATCCCATTTTACCACCCCCTTCCTTGAAAGATGACTCATTGGATCCCATCAACGCGGCATCTCCTCCTCCATCGTCCCCAGTGCTGGCGTTGGCAAATGAGATTCATAATGTTCCCATGGATATGCAAGATGGAACAAACAAGCAGAACAACCTGGCAAACGAAGCTACTCAATCCGGTCCCGCTAACCAGAAAATAGTGGACAGTCTCTTCTACGACGACGCTAAGACAATCCCAGCCCGTTGGCCCTTAGCAACCCGAGGGGATATCGTCCTCTCCGAGCAGACGTACCAGGAACTTATGAATCATCTTCTCCAAACTGATTTTGCGAACCAAGACGTGGCAACGCAAAGCACGGCAAGCTGGATCAAAAAGGCCTCTGATGTAGTCGGAATATCCAGTTGGGGCCAGAGGTTGACTGGGCGAAAGCCAGTTGTCCCAATCGTGCGGTCAAACAGGTCAGAGAGCAATACGACGGTGAATGTGTTAATGGGAGTGCGCAAGAAGAGGAAAGCTGCTGATAGTGGTGACGCAACGAATGTAGTCGCAAATGCTGGGACGACTGAAGCGGGTTCAACACCTGAAGCAGCTACTTTGCCAGCGGATTCGACGCGGAAGAAGTACAAGGTTGCTTATTGAAGCTGTGAACGCTTCGTCGAGGCATCTGAAAGTCCACTGAGTCATGCAGTTACTCATACAAGCACCTTGGAGATGGGTTCAAGTAGGTACTTTGGAAATTTATACAAGCTGCAAACTTCCATACCACCACATCAGGACTCATCTACATGGATGGGACCTCATTCAAGCACCTCAATTCTAGGAGCCAGTGCTTCGCATACATCGAGGTATACTACTGGCAAGATGCTCTTCGCTTTCCGATCGCCTTTCATTCCACCTCCTTTCAACCCTTTCAGAAGGGAATCATGTTCATTGTGCCCTTGTGCCAGAGCTTTTGTTAGGGTGACAGCTTCCCAAGATCTTGTCTGACCTTGTGATCCTGGCTGGCTTCGCGGCTCCCTGTTTAATGTGAGAATTCCTCTCTTTGCTGGTCCCAAGTCTCCTTCACCAGTCTGAGGATGGGTTTCAATCTCCTCACAAATCGTTCCGCTGTTTTCACTCATTTTTTCACTGGCCCTTATGCCTTTCCGCTCTTCATGGTTCCGCAATACCATACACTGTCATCGGACAGCTTATCCTGTCGTTCAAGCAATTGAACCGCTTTCAGTTTCTGATCCTCAAAGCAGCAAGTCACATTATTGCGCTCCCTTCGTCCGATCCTGTCCCAATTCCCTCTGTCCATTGACTCCACCACTCTCTCATCTCTCTACACCATCATCTTGCCCACAGCCGCGCCATAATGGAAGCCACTATCGATATTCACTGTGTCTTGATATTCTAACGTATATCTGTTCGCTATAAGTCATCAGTCGCAGTAGAATTTCAGCAACCTATTTGGATCATGATTCTTGATTCGCCTCACTCTTGTCATCTCTAGTACAGCCCTCCAAATTAGTTATAATCAAGCGTGTCGCACGTCAGAGAAGCTAACGCTCATCATAAAGTGTACGATGATAATGATGACACTATAATTCTTGATCAATCTAATAGAGAAATTTTATACCTCTTTCATGAGATTTTATACATATTTAATGAGGAAGAGAGGAAGAGAGGAGGGGAGGAAGAGAAAAGGAGAGAAGGCCAGAAGGAGAACGAGAGAGACCGTCTGTGTCGTCACAATCAAGGCGGCTGAGCAACGGAATGGAAAGGCGACAGAGAGAGCTCAGTGATGTTGGAAGCACGTTGGAAAGCGATCAATGGACCCTTTCAGCGAATTGATCGACAGCTTGTAAAATCATAGCATGTCTCGCAAGGACAAGGTAATTGGGAAATCTGGAGACAGAGAAACCATTGAAAGTGTTTTGCTCCTGTAGAGCCATCTGGTCTCTAGTGGTAGATGTGGGACCTGTTTGACAGCCAGCCTGGATGTGTTGAAAGCAGGAAGGACGATAGACGAGAACGAGGAACCCCGCTCTAGTTCTGTGATCGAGGAAATATGGAACCTCTTGTGAGCTTCGGCCAAGCTAGCATACATGGCGATTACTGCGATGCAAGACGAAGATGTGCCAGTGAAGGATTAGGTGCAGGTGGATGATCTCGAGGTGCACGGACAATATGACGGGCAAAGATCTGGAGAGGAAAGCTGCTGCTCTTGTTCTGAATCTAGACAGGGTAGGCGGACTTGGACTTGGACCCATGTGGGACTTCCGACCCCATCAGCCCAACAACTACACCGCATGAATCTTCAAGTATCCTGAGCTCGGGCTCGTCACTCGTCAAGGTCAGAAATGAGCCATGTGAGTTGGCCACACTTGAGGTCGAGTACCGCAAATGCTGGAAGCTGACGCTACTGTATATCTCGATCCTGCATTGTTGTAAGTTTCTGGAGGGAATGCACGTCGACAATCGAGACAGCCTCTTTGAGGATTGACGGATGCCCGAGCAAGGTAGCGGAGTGTCCAGTGTTCATACTACTCGCTTAAAAAGGACCTGGGGTATCTCTGGGCTCTTGGTTAATCTTTGAGAGCAGAAGACATCCATAGGTTAGCTGAACGTTTTTGATGAAGGAAGAGTTTCGCGCCGTCACAGAGTCTGCCCATCACAGGTATATTGCCGGTGTCGCCTAGTAGCAAAGGCAGGATCGATCTATACACCCCGGCAATGTGGGAATCGCCTTGGACCTCAGGCAGTTTTGGGACTCTTAGCAAACAACGATGCCTGTGGTCAAAGGGGTCGATCAACGTGAGGTTGCAGAGGGGATATGAGACAATTTCCGAAGCGGAGATATGCTGAAAGGTGGTATTGCTTTGGGCGTCCACTTCAATTGCGTATGCAGTATTGTTTGTCTGTAGTTGCTACTAGGAATGGATACTAACAGAGACCGTCCATATAGTAGCACATAGTGCTTCAGACTGCACATATCAATCAGGAAAAGGAAGGAGGAGTCGAGCATCCAATGTTGAAGCGCTGTGGGATAGGAGGCAAAGCTCAAGACGGTAGGGAAGAAAGTGCAATATGAAGTAGAGGGAATTGTTCCTTATGGCAACCTTGCCGGAGCAGATATCTACAGTGCCTGTGCCGTTGTCGTTCGAGGCAGACGTTCGTGGTATTGAGCTGCAATCTGAAAGGATGAGCAGGCTCTATCATTAGAGGCCATGTGGGTAGGGTAGAACATGTCGGCATTGAGACAGAATTCGATTGCTAGCGAACAAATATATATTGCTGAAAAAAGAGTATTGAAAGGGGTGTGCTCCGAACGTTCCATAAATAAAGACAGTGGAGAATTGGGCAGGAATCGTGTAAAGAAAAGGTTTCGTCCGTTCCGGCATTATTGCGCTCCTCCATCAGGTGGTTGTTCAAAGGTGAAACCGAATGTGCCAGACCATAGGTCGGTTCGACTCACGTGCTTGTATCCAGTGGTTACTCGATCGGGCAAGTGACTGAAGGTGGAGAGGGATTCCATTTATAGTCGGCATTGCATTCGGTAACACCCCAGCGGAGGTTGCCTTGATGATAAGGAAAAGGCGAATGGGGTTGATCGTTTCGGTGGGTTGTTCATTGCAGCAGCGGACCGTGATCTCCATTTTCCCATTGTGTAAGGCTTTCATAACCCTTGATGTGCACAACAACGCCTCGGCGATGGAGCACTATCAAAATGATCAGTTCTGAAAATGACCGGGGAGGATTAGACTTTACACCCATTGCCCAAGTTACCGACGTGGTCCCATCTCCTCTCTCTGATGTTGAGTCTGTGTTTAATCGCGTATATCACGTTGGGTTGAGCGCATGAAAATGCTGTCAGAGCTAGCAAGAGACTCATTTTCCCCGAGAGCCCGCAATGATTGTTGTTCACCTCTGACTTGTAACAGGGTGGCAAGAGGTGCGGAACGTAGGATCCTCCACCACCGCACAACGAATCGTATTCGCCATCATGGTCCAGGACGCTGTGGTTTGCGTCTTTCTCTGTAAAACAAAGTTTCCGCCATCCCCACATGTCTCCGGCTGCCTCACGCTCAATGTTTGAAATGTCGACCAATCGGCAGTCTGCTGGATGGAAGAGGAAGCGTTTCGTATTGGCACCATCGTAAAATACCGAGGTCGAATAAGCCTGGGTCATGTTTGGGGGTGGTGTAAATTCCTGCGTAACACTATTTGTCGTCAAGTGGTACCACCCAGTCGAGGCCCGCAGGGTGTAATGATCGGGTTGGACTGGCGGCTTGTAATCTCCATTAGGGAACGACTGAGGAGGCGCATGTTGCTTCGCTTCAATGAAGTCGATCTTGAAACAGCAGCTCAAGTCCTGGGGGTTCATTGTGGGATCAACGGTTTTCAAGACACAGGCGAAACCCTCGGAATTTGTGGTCGAAGGGAGAGAAAGGAGTGGATAAGGAGAGCAGCATCCGGAACAACTATATAGGCTAGAGAACGGTTTTGAAGGGTAAGCCAGCACGACAAATGAAATACAAGATAAGATCCAGCAGCCCAACTAATGCCTTGGCACACCAGCAAGAGCAAGGAGAAGATTGCCAGACATAAGCGGCTCTGCTCGTGTTCTGACCCTCCGTGCTCCGATACGTTTCCAAGCTCACCCATGGATATGCCGCGGGTTCAGGTGTCGGCCACGTCGGCTCTGCCAATGTCAGTTTGAATTGGTGGGCACACGAAGACAAACAAGGTCTAGGTCATGTCGATAGCTCTGCTGGCTTGTGGCCACCTCTGCCAACGCTCGAATCATGCTGATGCCACGCGTGCAGAGACGGTACCACAAAGCGAAAAGATTGGTTAGCAGGTCTAGGGCGTGCACTTAAAAGCCAATGCTAGCCAGGCATGTATTAGTCCATGCAAGAAAGACCAATCCTCAGTCGGAGAGAGAGAGAGAGAGAGAGAGATAGCGCCCCTTCGTTTCCGTTAGACGCCCATCATCTGCCGAAGTTGTGGATGGTGGGCTCCAGATTGGGTTCTGCTCAGCGACCTGAAACCGACGATCATCAAGAGCTCGGCATAGTGAGACCGAGCATCTGCAAAGACCATGACTTTCCAACAACTGGCACAGAGGGGGTAAAGAGAATTGCAATATCTGAAGAATTTGACGATCTATTCCTTGGATAACTTTTGCGGGACATGGTTGCCGTAGACGTATGCTGGATCAACCTTCGTGGTGGTAATCGATTGGTGGGGGCCCGAAGTTGCAGAGCCGCATCATTGGGCCCCAATGTTTTGCACATGATTCTTTCTGATGAGGCTCTTTCGATGCTGACGGAGGGCAGCCCGCCTATATAACCATCTTTCTTGTCGAACTGGGGGGGGCAGAATCAGTTTTCTGGAGCCGTGTCCCGACCGGTTGCCGCCTCGGAGCCGATTGACGAATGATGTGCGGGTGTGCTCTATTGGTGCTGGTCTGTGCCGCAAGCTCGGTTAAGCATGTACCTCCACGAGATAATCAGTTGAATGCTGTTGAAGGCAATTAAACAGCATTCAGTATGTGGGAACAGGCATTTTATACCTTTGATCTGACATGTAATGTCTCAGGAGCCAATCTCATGCAGCCTGTTGATTGCGCTGCCGATGATAGCCTTAGCGACTCACTTCAGTCGGGCGTCCTGCATGTTAGTCCGTTGCCTTTTTCTGTTGCCTCGCGGGTTAGGTAGACTTCATTTGACGACAACTCTGAAGGATATCACTCGGATGGTTCGCAAAAGTGGAGTTTTCCAAATTCTTGAACATTGCATGCGGATTTATCTCATCGCTGCGGATCCAGCATTGGCATTCTCCATTGGCTATTCCGACCATGCACGCAAAGCAGGCGAGGTCCTTGGCCGAAAGCAGCCGAATACTGCTTTGTCGGCGCAATCAGGAAGTTTGGCTTGGTGATAACGACTGGAGCTGCTTGATGTGCGTCTCTATGTACCGGAGTCTGCTGTTCTGCGACGTGGATCTGGACAAGTGTAACTGACTCCCTCAGCTCATTGGCCTCAATTCGGAGCCTTATGCAGAGCAACCTGGCGCACGAGTGTCGAATGTTGGAGTTACCAAATGTATGGAGAGGATGAATGCCTCCTTACAGACGGTACTAATCGGTATGGGGACTTGCATATTGTGGTCATTTGGCTCAGCCTTCTCACATGCAAATGCAAGTGCCCACCAATGAGGTGAAGAAGCAAAACTCAGTGAGCCACAACGCTCAACTGCCCCTACTCGATACTTAGTCAATGGATGCTGCCCCAGTTCCTTCTGACAGATTGGAAATGTTGCCGACGTTTTCTCGCCATGAGATTTGGAGCAGTGGCAATCAACTGCTCTGAACCTCCGAAGCCTGGACCTTTAATTCTGAAGTTGGTGAGCCCATCCTAGCCGAGACCAGGGTTGTGTGGTCACGGTACAGCGCATATCCAACGAGAGCCTACGCTCCAATCCCACAACAAGAGCGTGAGATGCAGGTCAAGGAAGGCAACGCGGTCATTGGGTTTGACAATGGAAAGAAGGGAATGCTGAAGGAAATGAAAAGAAAGGAAGGTTTACTGCGAGACGGTACGGCGGAAGCATTCGGGAGCAACCTTAGCTAGTGGCCAAGGCCCAGTGTAGCGGATCTCACTCTCACTCTCGCCCCCTGTGCCCCATCTTTTCACGTGAATATCGACTTTGCCTTTGAGTGTCTCGCTTGCGTTAAAGACGGGCAAATCGGCCTTACTCGATCGAGTCCCCTGTGACCTAGGAAGTGTGCTGTTCGACTTTGAGGATGGCTGGCTGATTGGGTTGAGCTGTGCGGGAGATCCGTGACCACACTTGGAGCAGATTCCTTCCCTCGAGACATGCAAAGACTTTCCAGCTGACACAGAGTCTCTAGCTCCTACTGCTTCCTCCTCCTGCTCCCTCGAGTCGTGCCGAGATACCATTCGAGCTTTGCCGGTCGCCAGAAGTGCCCGATGACAGTCGCAAACCTCACTAGTGATCAGAAGTAGTACAAACAATCGTCTTGGAAGACCTGAAAAGCGATATCCGATGATAACTTCATGACCATTCTGCTGCCTAATAAGAATGACAGAGAGTGGTAGCTTCTGCACACTATCAGGGGTTGGCACGGTGGCATTTGTCAAGCCAAGAACACTCACTTACGCCGCATGCATCACTGATCACAACCAGTGCGTCATCCTTTCATACATCGGTAAATGAATCACTCAGGATGGACTACTGTTCCGTAATGCGCCCTAGTGCCGTCCTTGAGGCTCTCACTCACCTGTTTGTCTGCGAAAGTAACAATACTTCGGACACAAAGCAGGTGAGCCGACAAACCAGAGCCCATAAGAAGAACAAACTCTATAAACAGGGACGAGGACGAAGTTTAGAAGATCTCAAGCTCCAGCAGAGAGGGCCTTGATGGAGCAGAATGATGAGATCGCACCTGATGGCGCCAGCTGCACACAGCAGCAGCATCTCTATTTATAGGAGTCTTGATATCGCCATGATATCCAAACCTATGTACGAATTTCGAAGAACGTACAATTTCAGTCGACAATTGCTTGTGGGCCATATCACCGATCGTTGTTGTCGCAAGGAACGACACAACAGTGAGCCTTGAAAACTGTTGGCCAACTCATTTGCAAATTTTATTGGATAGGCCCTACATCTCCCATAATCTGTATCACTTCTACCTCGAGCTCTATGGTAGGTTAACCCAAATTCCAAGCCCTTACCATCTAACAGCTAGAACAATCTTCGTCTGTTTTACTGTCCTGCTTACCATATCCTTACTTCTGAAACTTCCATCCGATCTCAGGCATTCCTCATGCTTCCATCTTCGATTTAGGTGTTGGCCTGGTTCCACTTCACTCGTTGTCCAAGTTGCCATCTTTCTAGCATTTTAGTCGCGTGGAAAACTCCCAGTACCACAATAGCGTTAGTAGGTGAACAATCTCTCTTCATCCCTACCTCCCTCGATCTTCTAAGTTTTTTGACTCGGTTTCTTTGCAGTATGGCTTTCCTTCTCCACATCAGACTCTTTTCCGCTGCTGCTGTCAGTACTTGTTTCTGATGCCTCACCTGCATTTCCGTCTCTACATGCTGCAGGTCTTAAACCAGTGTAAAGGTTGATTGTCAATACCTAAGAGTGCTACACCTCCGTCTACTTTTCCTACCTGTGACAAGACATCTCGTCTTGTCCCCACTTGCGAGCATGGTCTTTCCATAGAAGCAACCCACGAACAATCCTAGCCTACCATGACTAACCACAATGGTATGAAGCCATACGGGGAATGGTGTAGAGAAGTGCAGTGCAGAACCTTAAGGTCCAACCAAACCGCAATATCTTTGATAAGAGTTGAGGAGTTCCTCGTAAATGTTCCGATCATTGGATTGTTCAAGGATCCCATAGATCTTGCTGCTGCGCGACTTGGGTCAGGTTTTGCAGCCTCCTACCTTGTTGGGCAAGCCACAGCCGCTGATGCCCCATTGGGAAGTAAGCGTCGTACGTCATAGGGTGAGTCTTGCGATGTAATACTACATCTCAACTCTAGAATTCTGGGACATAAGGCGCTGTTTCAAGCAGTCTTTGACGCCGCTTTAGGCGTCTATTACACTACGCGTCATATGATGTATTACCACTTTTTTTGTCACTCAATCTTATCTTGCTAATTTTACAACCTTGAAAAACACTCCGCTTTCCTATCTTTTCTTTTGTAAACTCCTAATTTCTTAATAACTAGCCCTATATTCTACATTAGTAGAAATCTATGATGAAATCTATTGAGAATTTCAATTCCATTATAGTTAGTCATAATATCTTTTGTTTCATTTAGATAGAAAGCTACCAGCATCCCTACTATAAGGGGACATAAATATTGTTAAGCTGGCCCTAGTAATATTGGCTCAAAATGCCCCTCTTACAGAAACCGTTGTTGTTCTAATTCAGCACTATAACATCACTGTTTGCTATCTACACGTTGTTATCGATTTGACGCGTACTACGGAGTACTTCGACTGAATTCGATGAACTCTGTACGAGAGGCTATTACAGCTGTTTGGAACACAGTCCCTATGGCCTATCTTAATAGCTGCTTGAGGAGATGCCTGGGCGTTGTTAAGCAGGTATTCATGCTAGTAATGGCATGCACACTCGAATACTGGATAGGCTAGCAATTTCTGGGCACTCTATCCTTAGTACGGCAAGAGCAGATACGTAGCGTTGTATTTTTAGGTAGTACGTGGCGTTACTACACTGGCAGCCAGCCTCACAATATTTATGCCCCCCTCGTAGTATTTGCATACAAGATGATGCTTGCCTTCCTCCGCCTCGCCATCTCTCCATTTTCTACGTATTGTACGGAAGGGGCATAAATAATGTTAGCACAGTGCTAAGAACGATTAGTATCAATACATGGTCACACTCTCTTCCAGAAGCCTCTTTGGTGATCATCCATACAGATTACTTAAATTGATACCGCTTAGCTTTTATAGGATTAGTGGCTAAGTTTAGTACCTGTCCCCGCCTCATGTTGGAATTAGCCGCACGTGTACAGAGTCCGTACAGAGTACAGCCAAATCCTTGGCAGAACGTGATCTTGGCGTCAAGGGCCTACGCGCCTCAGTAGATTACCCTACTCATCTAGAATCTACAGAGAGGATAGATAATTCAGTTCATCCACCTCATCACCTCAGAGTTACTAGCTTTGAGCTAACATTACTTCTGCCTGATGCCGTAGTATATGGATAATCTTGGCAATGCGGCTCGGTCTTATTGTGGCTAGTGCTTTCTAATCGCTGAGGTCGTGTAGCCGTTGGTGTTTCTATTCTTGGTCTATTGACTTGTCAAGAGCTACTGTGATCCGTCAATGAGTCAAATGGGCCGATATAAGATCTCCACTGACGGTGAGCGCGGACGCGAATTCGCACGGCGTGCTCTTTTCCTTCTGCAATGTTTGTTCGTTCACACTTATCCTAGTTTTGGTTCTTTTCGTTCTACCATGTTCGTGCGTTCACATTTATCCTGATTTCGGCCGGCGCAGCACTTGCCTAACTTTTGAAACGGATCCTGCCGCGCTTGCCGCGCTCTCGCTGGAGAAGGCTGCCTCTATGGAGGCTCTACCTGAAGGGCCTGCGCTGAAGCCGCCTCCTGGGGTCATACCCGACTTTGCCAACCCAGGTGGCCATCATGGAATTGGCTATGGCGTCGTTATCCTCTGTTCCATCCTCGCAAAAACTGCTGTTGCCCTACGTCTTTATGCAAGAGATACAATTAAGGACCTGAAACTCGAAGATGGTAGGTTCAACCAACGCCTCTACAATCGACCGCTGACTTCGTTAGGCCTATTGGTCTCGGCATTGGTATGCAAGTCCAATCCTCAAGGCTCAGTGGCGGAAATTCTTACCATCTTTCCTTAGGGCTCTTCGCAGGATATCAGTATCTCATGTACGACGGTGCCATATCTCCGGGAATTGAAGTCCATCGGTGGAACATTCAGTTAAAGAAGGTACCTCGTTTGCTCTACGTACGTATAAAAAATTTCCGCAATCAGGTATCGAAGAAATTAATCTCATGAAGCATATGTACCTTGCTACAATCTTTTATGGCGTTGTCATCATGCTTCTCAAAGCCGCCATCCTGCTAGACTGGCTCCGTCTCTTTATACCCCGAGGCCAACGCAATGCCATGTTCTGGTTGTTTCATGGCTTGATCTGGTCTAACGTCCTTTTCTATGTCGTTGGCCTATTCATCTGCATCTTCCAATGCTCTTCCCGTAGAACGATCTGGAACCCACTCTATGAAGGTGGAAGCTGTTCCTTTAACAGGCGCTCCTACGTACTCGCATCTTGCATCATCAATCTGATTTCCGACATCATCCTTTTCGTCTTACCACAGAAAATCATCTGGACGCTGCATATCCCAAAACACAATAAAGTCGGTATTTCTCTGCTGTTCGCAGTCGGTATCTTGTTAGTCTACCTCTGATACTCCAATTGCCTCGCGCTAATCTTCTCGACTACAGTGCCTGCGCCTGTGGCGCCACTCGTCTGGTCTTCACGAACAGGACATTCAACCCTTCCGACACACTTTTGACCCGCTGCGCACTGTATAGCAAGACAGCGTTCTGCACATAAATTATATTATAATATGACTGGGTGGGGAAGTTTGGATTCAAAGACTCAGTCTTTTAAAAAGTATAAGCTAAACCAGCACAATAAAGTCGCATGCTTGCCACAGAGTCTCGCCAACGTAATTTCGCTTGGTTTGCAAGAATCACGTTTACAAAAATAAACTGGCATCTTCAATCATATACGTGCTTTGATTAGAAGAGCAATTCAGAGGACGAGATGCTTATACGAGGAATGTCGCGGTATCAGAGAGATGCTCTCCGCGACGGGACCGAAACGGAAGGGGGATGCTGGTAGTTTGCTACTGAGTACTAACTTACTAGCTAGTACTCCAAAGGGTGATTGGAGATGCCGGTAGGTAGAATGGCAGTGGTCCTAAAAGAGGTATAAGGCAGTAGTGATCTGGATGCTGGAGAGATGGCCCCGTCTGGCAGAGATTGATGGAGGTCATGATATCACAGCGCTCGAAGAGTTCGAGAAGGTGACCCTTTGAAAAAATAGATGAGAGTGCTTTGCCTACACGGCGAGAGTGAGAATGTACGTGATAGGCAATAGGAAGAAGGGCAGGAAATGATTTGTGAAGACGAGATTCAGGCTAAGTTTTTGAATTCAACTGCAACTGCCGAACCGCCAGGTAGCATTGATGAAGAGATCCGCATGATGACTTCGTCGCACCACTTCCAGGTCGAAATGGAACGGCGAGTCTCAGCGCCAGTGTCATAAGATGTGGACCGGGCTGGCCCCGAGCTCACGCATGCAGTCCTAAGTTTGAGGAGGTAGCGTCACTGTGTATCGGCACGATATGTTGTTATGAGTGTGCATGCATGAGATTGTTTGTAGAGCCATGGAGTCCATTTTGTGCTAGAGTCATTCAGTCTTCCCGTTTGTCGGCTTCATTCTGACATATACCTCCCGAATTGGATCTCCTTCATGGCCGCTGACCTTCCACTGACCAATGCCATATTCCTTACCTGCCTTCTTTACTCCTCTCCCCCCTCCTCCTATGATCAGGTTTCCGGGCCGATAGTTTTCATCCTCCTGCATTCGTTTGATGACACTGTTGTGGATCTTGGCATCATCTGGGATGTCTCGTGTTTCGCCGGCAGGAAGAGGCCAACGGATCGGCTTCCACGATCCATCAGGCCTCAAATCCATTCGCCTAAAAGGAAGGTATTCCATGAGCATCCATGTGAGAACAGACATACGGGGCAAGCCGCCACCAAATTGCAGACAATCATGCATGAAGCCTCTGCAGCCGCTTTCACGGATTGCATCGTGGAAGTGTTTATGCTTCTTCTCGTGGTCTTCATCACCATCATCGTCCAAGTCATCTGGACAGCAGTTGAGCTTTGCCATCTTGTAGCGGTCGAATTCCAGGCCAGCCATGCTCGCAGCGTGGACCATCCATACTAATGGAGCATGACTGAGTGGCCACGCCCCCGCCGCCGATATCGGCGTGGCAACCTGCAAACCAAACTTCCTCGATATGTTGCTTTTTATTCTGACCGGAGAATTGCCGTTGTTGCGACGCTCGGTGAGATCGGTATGACGCTTGAGAGTGATCTCTCAGCCCCTCTAGCGATTGTGTGTCTATAGGTCCAGCGATGCTAAAATTTCGACCTCTAATGTCTTCCAAAGACGGATTCATGACCGGCTGAGCTAAGCTCAGGCGACTGTGGTGCGAATCCTGCGACTTGACTGGAGGTCGGGCGGAGGGTTCGAGTGGGGGAGAAGCGGCATCCACCGTTATGTAGGGTACCTGAGCCTCAGGTTCAGCCGTAGTCTGGGGCTTCATCTGAGGTGTATCAGAGGTCTCATTCTGAGATCGCTCTCCTGTGTCTGTATGAGTGAGCGTGACACCGCCATAGGTTCTGTGAGGCCAGAAGTGATGATGGTGCTTTTCTTCGGATAGCTTTGCCCCTGATATTAGGTCTTGTCGGAACTTCGCGCGCCGCTCATTGATCGCCACAGCGTGTCTGATGACCTTGGCGCTCGACCTTGCTGTATACGGGAACTTTGAACGTTGCATCCAAGCATTCTCGAACCGGGGGACGCTGTTGACGGTGTCAAAGAGTCCCAAGAATCTGATACGCTTGACAGGACGTGAGAATGTTTCTCTGAAATTGCTCATGAACTCATACAGCTCCTTCTCTTCTTTCTTGTTCTCTGCGCCACTACCACCTCTCCTCGATTGCCACTTGCTGAATGTCTTCCAAGCGAAGCGTGCCATCTCCTCATTTCCTGCACTGAGTAAGCCCACGTGGTCTACCATTTCAGACAAGAAACTGAAGCACCAAGTCAACAAGCAGAAACATGGCGATGCGTATTAGGGGAGGCTACCGAGCTATATAGCTCCCACGGGAGAATCCAAACATATATATGTCATCACCTGGGTTGTAATAGCGCATCAAGAATTTGTATCCTCCCATAACATGATCTGCAAACGACGTCCCAATAGCCGAGTCCTTGGCTTTGGAGTACCACGAGCCAATTCGGTCGGTTATGGACGTATGATCAAGATCCCCCGAGCTGATATAGGTGCCGATTCCCGGCTGATAATAGGTAAATAACTGGTCGTCGCTCCTATCCAACATGCGATAAATTTTGAGAATATTGCTGTCCTCATCTGTTCCAGAGAATTTGTTCCCTGTCCCATCGAAACATAGCACAAACGTTTTCGGCCTGCGATTGAGGTCGTTCATCCCAGCTGTAGACATGCTCGGCCAGCACGCTGATACTTAAGAATATGATCAGACAGAAATAACTTGAATAGAAAGCAGAATCTGGCAGCTCTCGAGAGTTGGCTGGCTAGACATCCTTCGTGCGAAGCACGCATCTGGATTGGCGGCCAATGATATCCACCATTCCGCCGTAGTTTTAACCATCTACTGTAAGCCATTGAAAGGTAGTACTCGGTGATTGGACGGAGATCGATTGGCGAGACTGGGGAGGTGATATGATGATTCGGCCGTGTCTTACACGTGCAACTCACATGAGTCGGGGTTCCACAAAACAAGGGTTGAGGACTACTACAGCTACAGGCCGAATTTTTGTACCCCCACCGGGTCAAAATATCTTACAAACGCCTTTTTGGCATACATATCCCTGTCAGCATCCCTGTCGCTAATTTGCATCAATTTTGCTCATCCTGCAAATTCTGGATTAGATGGAGAATTGGATACAAGTGCGCTATGAAGATACCCTACACAATGTATGATGAGCTATGAGCGGCTGTTAATGCTGCACTGCATAGATGCTGTATCTTCTGACTATCTTAAGAAGCTGCTTCACTCGATGCAGGCGAGATGGCAAGCAAGCAATTATAAATGTCAATGGAAAGTAAAAACTTGATTTCTGAGCGATAGCCCTATTTAGGCCAGTTTGTGGACATCTACACTCAATTCTGCATATTATGTTTTGTACAGATACTAACGTTTTCAGCAAGGGGGGTACAAAAATTCAGCCTGTAGCTGTACTAGGAGAAGAACATGATCGACCACAGCTCTTAGTGGAAAGGTCCACAGCGGCGTATAAACCCCGTGACATACAATAGTTTGGAATACGGGGATACGAAATTTCGTAATCACTACATGACCTCCCGAAATTCATTTCAGCCAAGCTAAGCTGTCTTCAAGTTCAAACAGTATATAGACATACTTGGCATCCCGCAACCACAAGTATCATCGTAAGTCACAATCCTCTAGTCATATGTTAGTTGCACCGAGAGAATTTAACTCTGATCAGTGGGAATCTATGATGACATCTCACTATTCTAGATAAATCTCAGTCAAGGCATCTTACATTTCATTGAATCGGGACTTACCAGCTTCTGAATGAGCTAATCATGATCTACTACTACGGAGTACGTAGAAATGAGCTAGGACAAGTTGCGTCCTCGGTAAGGAGCAAGCGCCATGATCTGCGGTGGAGTAGCGGTGTCATCTGATCGAGCAAGTTCAAGTTGCACTAGCCCCGAAGAAAAAGCTTAACTTTTGCACTAATCACTTGTCTTCTCATCCTACTTCTGTACTTCTGATTGAGGCGAGTACTACGGAGTACATACTACGGTTACAGGCAGAAGTAATGTTGGTGGGGCGTCAAGGCAACTTGTGCATTACCCTTTTGATACGTATCTTTGAATAGGTATTGTATCTCCATTCTATTAATTCTGGACGTATTATCTAGCAATTAGGCGTTTTGAGATTCTCTACTAACCTATGGATCTTCAAGAGGATCTTCCTGATCGAAATCATCCTTCGAGTACGACGAACGGCCTTTTCTTCGGGGCAATAGGCAACAAGCGCTTTCTGTCCATTTGATGATACCGTCTCTAGCGCAGAACGAAGATTTCCAGTGCCCCACCGACACTACTTACTTCTGCCTGTAACTATTGTAATACGTGATTTACGCGGTGCCGCCAAGAAATGAGTTTCAGTGTCCAATCAAGATTGCTGCAAGAATAGAGATTGACCAATGTGTCCACGGGAGATGAGGTTAAATGTGGGTAAAGGATGCTGGAGATGCCAGATAATTGAATCAGATCAACGAAATTTGTACATCCCTACCAGAGACGGCTTGACATTGCGCTAGAACTCACCTTTCAGCGGCACGGAGTGGGGAGCATGCAGGCAGATGTGAAAGGGATTTACGTAGTACTTAACGCACTGATCATACCACTGACAGGGTATTATGCTGCAATTCTGCTCTGTCTGTACGACAGGTGCACTTCAGTAACTCCATAACCCTATCTATTGGCCATGATTCTAGCTTTGAAACGGCTCCACCTGCTCTAAATCCCTGCCACTATAATTCGGTTTGTGATGGACCTGATAGCGCGTATGTTGGGCTATTTTACACAGTTGAACCTCATCATAGCTGCATTGCCCCATGTCGTTACGCAATACTCACCAGTTCAGAGCAAACTGGCCAAATCCCCATCAAGGAATGTAACACGCGATTCAATTTTTCTGGAAGTTTAAGGCAATATTTCTGAAAGGCACTTCCCCCCATTATCAAGATTCCCTATCATGTATTGTTGTAGCGAGCAGATAGCGTGCAGCCAAATCGCATCAACACAAGTCAAAAGAAGCCAAGGTTATGGGACTGGGAGGGGACTAAGGAGAGTACTACGGGGGGCCTGAAGTAATGTTAGCTCAGCGCTAGTATCTTTACTAATAAAGGTTCTTTGCACAAAATAGTACGTCTAAAGAGATTAGGTGTGATAAATCAGGCCGGCAGAATGGCTAGGTATAAAATAAGCTTCACACTGACGAGTTATAGTACTAAAATCCGGTAACGAGAACTAGCTGCTACTAGCACCTGACTAACATTACTTCAGGCCCACCCCCCGATAGTCAGTTTACAGTGGTCAATTGGCGAAATGCAAAAAGTGATAGAGCAGATCGTCTGTATTTCGGGCGATTCCCTGCATAAGCTAAATGAAGAAGAGGCTAGAAATGGGCTGCTCTCATGTACGTGATATTATTCCTTAGTACGCCGTTCCGTCTCCTACCATTCAAATGGGACCCACTATTTGAAACATATTACTTCAATATCGCCGATCTCACAGATCTCGCAGAGATCCCATATGTGGCGGGTCGATGTGCACTTGTGCAGCCTGCACTTGAACACGACCTTACAGAACATGAAGAACTCTGGCTAGCAGGTTTCCACTGTCAGGTCCTCCTTACTCTGGATAAGACGCGGGCTAATGCATTTGGTAGGACTATATTATATTCTCGGGGCTGTTTGTACTGGGGCCAGGGCGGGCAATCCGGCATAAAAGGCTCAATTGACTCAAGAAGCCCATAATGACTCTCATACGAGTCATCGCCTCCTATTCTCATTAGGCGCTATTATAGACTAGGCTTTGGAAGTGGGAGTGGGTGAAAGACCTGTTGGCTGCGTTCATGCGATTGAACTGTCACTCTAGCGAAGACCTCGCAGTAAGGCCAGCAAACACACGCATAGATCTAGTCGATGCAATCAACTATGTACGTGTGTAGTAGGATTTTGAGTTCACTGCCAACGTAACCAAGAACGGAGGATCTGAAGCGTAGAGTGGAGACTAGTAGATCAATGGTGTTTGTCATGGTAGTATTTGTTGACGACAACGGATTCTAGGCATCGCCACGGTCCTACTTACAGACTCAACCTGTTCTTCAACTGCTTCCTGAAATGTAAGCAATGCTGGACTACTACCATCCCATGTCCATGAACTACATGAGGAATGAACGGAGAACACCAAGATAAGATCACCTAAATTGGACTGGCTCAGCTGATAGCACATTTTGTTATAGAGGAACATCTGAAGCGGAAAGCTTAGGCAGTAGTACGAAGCGTTTTCATCAGATTTTCGATCCGGATTTACCAGGCTCAGTGTACGTGATGTTATCCAAACAGCAAGATAACGTGTGCAGCTAGTACCATACATCATGATCTAGTATCTCTCGATACCGGAACGCTGATACCGGGAGCACTTGAAAAGGATTAGCTGCAGGCCCGTTCCGTGATCGCTGTATAACATCACCACTTTCACAATACTGGCTAGAAAACCTCTGTTTTACAATGAAACTCGTCAAGTCTCCTATGATTCGTTGGAGACTGCCGGAAAAGTATACCGTTAGTTCCCTCCATCACCCGCTAAGCCGTATGCATCAAGCGGCAAAATGGACGACTTCCCGGAAGAAGCGAGAATTCATCGCAACCACGGTCGAATTCTGGTTACCCAGCAGAGACCCGCTCCATGGTCGAGCAACGAGTTTCCTTATCCTTGTCGTCTAGGCTGCATTGGGTGTGTTCTGACCTTCGCTTTTCGAGCCAGATCCGGCTAGACACGAATGAATGTTCCCAATGGAGGGCTCCCAAACAGTCGCCATCTTCACGGCCTTGCAGCTCGGTGCAGTCCAATGCATGTATGGAAGGTCGCCACCTGCCGCTACCTGTCATGTGCTCCTTCATCAGCAACTAGGACATCAGTCTAGCGAATTTCGCAAATCGAATGCTGAGGTGGATCATGATTCATGGGCTTGCCATTGTCAGACAGCCTCACTAAATCGGCCGGCATCGAAACGTTTGCTAGCCAGATATCCCAGCTGGAATTCGAGCTAACGCCAAAGTTAACTAGCGATCTAGCTCTTACGCCCGTGAGTATGCATTTCTACAATCCAGTACTCATTGGGTACATGCACAAACATATACTACGTAGTAGGACGCTGGCCGCCGCCACGCATGTACGTCAACCACAAAATGATCTTGGGCGTGGATTTGATTGGCTTGAAAGGACTGTCGGTGTAAAGCACGGACAACAGATCGTGTGGCAGACTTCAGCTATGTTCTAACTTCGGCTTCGTGCTATCAATTGGGTCTCTGAGAGTTGACTTGAAGGCTTCCGGGATACCATCCATCCTCACTGCATTTCTAGGTCGGCTCGGTCTCTAATTTCTACTCTACTTTTGCGAACCTATTTTGCCGTGCAGAATCGTACTTTTGGCAAACACTCACCATGTTCAGACGACTCTCAAAGACCTTCCACAGGAAAAAGGACTCAAACAGCCATACAAATGGCTATACTAATGGCAATCCTGGGAAAGGTGCCCCCATGACAAACGGAACGGTCTCCCACAGCTCTTCGGAACATGACAACTCGAAAGAGACCCAAGCCACCCGTGCGGACGTGCAAAGCACGTTTGAGCAGTACGCTCAATTAATCCACGCTGCGCAGCGCCCACTGCCCACCGAGTCTGGTGATGGAGCATACCTTACTACCGAAGAGCCCTCGGGGTTTATGGCCGATCTGAAAGCCCTAGGCTTCAAAGAGATTAAGACCATCAAACACATCATGGAGGAAAAAGCGGCGGGTAAGCTTCAAGACGACAAAAAGATGCTCATGGAGGAGGTCATGCAGCTTGCTGCCGCGTTACCTGACAAGTCAAGTAATCGTGTTCAGCTTACTGGCTTGTTTTTGGACGAGTTGTGGAATAGCCTCCAGCACCCCCCCATGTCATACCTTGGAGACAAGTACCTCTATCGATCTGCAGACGGCTCGAACAACAGCTACATCTTCCCCATGCTTGGTGCTGCCAATACTCCCTATGCAAGGTCGGTTCGTCGTAAGTCTCCATGGCGCTACGTCGCGTGTAGATATTGATCCCCACACAGCTATGACAATACAACCTGGCGCGTTACCCGATCCCGGGCTTGTGTTCGATAGCCTCTTCGCTCGACAGAAGTTCAATCCATCCCCGAACAAGGTTTCCAGCGTTTTCTTCGACTGGGCATCGCTCATCATTCACGGTAAGCCAACGTCGAATGGCAAGATACAGCTTCTGATCCCAGCTAGACCTGTTCCAGACCGATCATCGGGACTTCAGCATTTCTCAAACTTCCTCATACTTGGATCTGTCCATTCTCTACGGAGACGTGCAAGAAGACCAGAATCATATGAGGACTTTCCAACATGGTAGAATCAAGCCAGACTGCTTTTCGGAATCGCGCTTGTTGGCATTTCCGCCTGCCTGTGGAGTAATGCTTATCATGCTGAACCGGTAAAAGTTATGCCCTGTTTCACCTCGGAAACGCCTGACGTGAAGCAGATTTCACAATTATGTCGTCGAGCAGCTGGCTGCCATTAACGAGAACGGAAGGTTCACGCCCCCGTCGGACAGGCTTCCACCCGCGCAAGCAGAACAAGCTTGGAAGAAATATGACAACGATCTCTTCCAGACAGGGCGCCTGTATTGATCACCTGCGCATCCACCATGTTGCACGCTACTGACTTGAAGTAGGATCACATGCGGTCTCTATATCAACATAACCCTGTATGACTACCTCCGCACGATCATTAATCTGACCAGAAGCAATAGCACTTGGACTTTGGTAAGTCATTCTGGACACGAAACTCCGTACCGTAGCTGAATAATAAGGATCCTCGAATGGACACGCCGAAGACTTTCGGTAAAAATGGCACCCCTCAAGGTGTTGGCAATCAAGTCTCCGTAGAGTTCAACCTTGCTTATCGCTGGCACTCTTGCACCAGTGAGAACGATGAGAAATGGACTGAAGAAGTTTACACCGAGCTCTTTGGCAAGAAGGCAGATGAAGTATCGTTTCCGGAGCTGATGGCGGGACTGTCCAAATGGGATAAGGATATGTCAGATGATCCTATGAAGCGACCCTTTGCTCATCTTCGACGAGGTGAGGACGGAAAATACAACGATGATGATCTGGTTAGGATCATGCAGGGGGCAATAGAAGATGTTGCAGGTGAGATCAGCTCCACTTCTTAGCTTGCACTGCTGAGAGTATAGGCTCGTTCGGACCTCGCAATGTTCCCAAATGTCTTCGGTCAATCGAGATTCTAGGCATGAAGCAGGCGCGTGCCTGGAATTGCGGAAGTTTGAACGAGTTTCGAAAGTTTTTTGGTTTGAAGCAGTACGACACATTCGAGGAGATCAATAGTGATCCATATATCGCCGATCAGCTTCGCCGACTCTACGGTGAGAGGACTAGATTGGAGGAAACTTATCAGGACTGACTTGTCGTAGAACATCCAGATTTTGTCGAGCTGTACCCTGGCATTGTTTCCGAGGAAGCAAAGCCGCCGATGGTCCCCGGTTGGTGAAGATACTTGGCCATTCATATAATTTGACTGACGATGTTTTCCAAGGTGTTGGTATCACGCCAACTTATACGATCTCTCGAGCTGTGCTTTCTGATGCAGTCGCTCTTGTCCGAGGTGACCGCTTCTACACGGTAGGCTAAATCATCCCTTTCCTCGTCAGCAGTCCCTAACGATACAAGCTCGACTACACACCCAAGAACCTCACGAACTGGGGTTTTCAGGAGAGCAACTACTCCCTTGCGATCAATAATGGCTGCGTTTTCTATAAGTTGATGCTGCGAGCATTTCCAAACCACTTCAAGCCAGATTCAATCTACGCCCATTACCCAATGACAATACCGAGCGAAATGGCAGTCGTTATGAAAGACCTGGGCCGCTATCACGAGTTCAGCTGGGAGAAACCCATGCGGATCCTTCCTCGGATCAACTTGACTTCTTACCCCGCTGCGAAGTATATTCTCGAGCGTGCACAAGACTTCAATGTTATGTGGAACGAAGGTTTTGAGCACGCCATGGGGAAAGGAGGCCTGAAGTTCATGCTGGCTGGTGACACACCCTTCCACACGAACCAGCGAGAGGTGATGAGCAAGTCGTTGTACAGGAATGACTGGCACAGAGCAGTCAAAGAATTCTACGAGTACCAAACCCTGAAGTTGCTCAAGGAAAAATCGTGCCAAATTGCAGGCATCAACCAAGTGGACATTACTAGAGAGTAAGGATATCCATGCGTCGGAGAAGTACCTGCTGACAACTCTAGTGTCGGCAATCTGGCTCATGTCCATTTCGCGGCAAACATGTTTGCACTTCCCTTGAAGACCGAGGAAAACCCGCACGGCATTTTCTCAGAGCATGAGATGTACATGATGATGTCTGTCATCTTCACTGCCATCTTCTTTGATTTCGAGCCCACAAAATCCTTTCCTCTGCGGAAGGTTGCATTGAAGCTCTCCAACATGTTGGGGAAACTGATCGAGGCACACGTCAAAACAGTAAATGCAACTGGCTTTGCTGCGAAACTCATCGACACGTACCGGGAGAACGACAACGCATTGTCAGACTATGGTATCCACATGGTTCGCAGACTCACGGAGACAGGGATGACGCCGTATGAGATTGCATTTTCTCAGATCATGCCCACAGCAATCGCAATGGTGCCAAATCAGTCGCAAGTGGTGAGTAAATGGATCATAGTCTGGCCTCGGGGGACTATCGACTAACATTTGCTTCAGTTCACGCAGATCATCGACTACTATCTTTCCGCAGAAGGAAAAGTACATCTGCCAGAGATTAACCGCCTGGCTAAGATCGACACGCCCGAGTCTGATGATAAGCTTCTTCGCTATGCCATGGAAGGCATCCGCTTGAACGGCACATTCGGCTCATACCGCCGCTCCACTGTCTCAACAACAGTGGATGATGGCGGTCGACAAGTGGACATCAAGCCGGAAGACAAGGTCTTCGTGTCCTTCGTCAGTGCTGCCCGAGACGAGAAGATCTTTCCTAGTCCGAATGAGGTGCGCATTGATCGACCGCTTGACTCATATATCCACTACGGCATTGGCGCACATACCTGCCTAGGCAAGGAAGCCAGCATGGTCGCCCTAACCGCCATGTTGCGGGCCGTTGGCAAGCTTAAGAACCTTCGCCGCGCTCCTGGACCACAGGGCCAGCTCAAGAAGATTCCCAGGCCTGGAGGGTTCTATGTCTATATGAGGGAGGATCAGGGGAGCTACTATGTGTTCCCACTCACGATGAAGGTACATTTCGATGGAGAAGTTCCGGCCCCGACGAAGGCAAAAGCAAGATGAAGCAAGCGATCAGGAACACTTGCGTGGTACGAAGGTGCATTGCGGTGACAAGGTAGCTCTCGCGGTATTGTCTTATGTAGTCCCACCATACTAATACCATTTGTTTCGATTGTTTACTATGTTTGATGGACTTGGGTGGATTGTTTATCGTCAGACGCTGTGAGCGCCTATGGGCCAGATTTGCTGCGTTTCTACTGCGGAATCCGTACGTTTTGATTGGTCAAGTTCTACTGCAATTTCGCTTCTAATTTCTGTACCGTACGGAGTACAGCCAATTTGGACGTATATCTACCGACGCTGCCCCTTAATTAGATAGAACAACTGGTTTTCTACAGAACTCCTGCATTCTTACACATTTATTTTGAGCGCCATGACAACATCTCGACTCACTTTTCTGGTTGTGGCTGGGGTCAAGCAACCGGATTCCAGCCACGATTTCGCAATAAAGTCAATTTTCAAGGACTTCGGTCTCTGTAGACAGGACATGAACCTGCGGCGTAATTCTCGGTGAAATGCGGGAACGGTAGGATGAAAGCATCTCGTTCTTGCAACCTGCAACGCTTCGGGTGATGACACATTTTGCATATTTTCTATTGTCTTGGTAACAACGCATTTGGGAGACTTAGACGTCAATTCATTCTCATTGCCCTGCATTGCCTTGCTGCTGCTGTTGCTGTTCCTGCACACACACCCAAGGGTAATTGGGAGATAGAACAGCTTAAAGTGCTTGGGAATCAGACATTGATTATACATCGAAGAGACTGCAACCATCCCGAACCAACAAGCATGGCAAGTACAAGCAAGAACCATGCCTTGATGGAGTCGGTCAAGTCCTACAAACATGTACCCTGGTGTGACGACTACGAGAAAATGATTTCTGGCATGCTGTACGACTCTTGTGTCCCCGAGCTGATGAACGGGCGCTTTCGAGCTCGGAAGCTCATGGACAAATACAACAAGTACTTTCCCGAAGATGCCACCTTCGAATCACTGGCCAAGGACAGGGAGGTTATGCTGAAGGAATTGATGGGAAGCGTGGGCACGGATGTCTTCATGGAGCCGCCCGTCTATGTGGACTATGGATGCAATATCTCCATTGGGGAGAGATTCTACGCGAATTTCAAGTATGTGCGCCGAGTTTGAGTCGTTTCGTTACCCCACGCGCACTCGCACTCGCACTCGCACGTCGGCCTTCTCGTCTGACCATATCCCTAGTACCGTCATACTCGACTGCGGCATTGTCACCATCGGCGACCGTGTTATGTTCGGTCCCTTCGTCAGCATCTTCGCCGCCACGCACGAGACAGAAGTCCAGTCGCGGCGGGACAACATCGAATACGCGCGCCAAGTGAAGATCGGCGACGATTGCTGGGTTGGTGGGCATGTAACCATCCTGCCAGGAGTGACGATTGGCCAAGGCTGCACAATAGGGTCAAATTCCATCGTGACCAAGGACGTGCCGGAGTGGAGTGTAGCAATGGGTTCACCAGCCAAGGTGGTGAAGAAAGTGACGCCTGTCCCGCGGATCGACAAACCCGAAGGAGATGAGAGTACTTGAGCGCTACCTGTCTCTGATTGGCTGCTTCACCGGTGCAGGTAACAGAATGACAGAGCAGACGATATAGAATTAGCTGATCCGGAAGCTTTATTCGTACAGACAATTCCATCACCTCTGTTTGTTCCCTCCACAGCCCTGAGATTCAGTCACATCTGTCCATCCGACCCGAGATAAGGACTGCTACTGCCAAGCGCCGCCCATCCATCCGACAAAATCAAAATTCCCCGTCTGATCAAAGCCTGAAATTGTCAGAATCCCTAATACGCGCATACGTATCTGTTACGTATTAGCATGATGGTACAAGGGTCCCCGCATGCAAAAGGCACGAAACGCTCTTGTAACTGTTACGCCCCGTCATTTATGGCAGTGAGCATTGCTATACGAATTGAACGCCAAATGCTGTTTCTGAGCTGTTACAGTAATGCGCTTCTATAGCTATCAGTATGAGCAAATGCTCCTCTTGATAGGAGTAACTCAATCAAGTGAATTGGCACCTCCGTACGCTGTTTGCTACTACTTCTAACAGAAATGATCATTGCCCCATTCAGATCTTTCATCGAACTGCGGCACTATGCCCCGGGCGGCCAAAGTGGGCCGAAGCCGAAAAACATACCACCGAGATGCCGGATCAGGCTTTGATCTGCCAAGCGCTGTGTGGATGATCGGCGCCAGTGTCGCTTAGAGCTTAGCGGCGTATCAAAATCCTCTCCTGTGCCAATGACATGTTCCCTCTCTTCCACCAGGAGATATGGCCACGCAAGCGGCAAGTTGAATGTTAGCTCATAGACATGGACATATGTGAGGCTTACCCCAGGCGGTGTCCTATTATAGCGAAGAATATGTTGATCCCCTCACAATACATCGCAGAGACGCGCAGACTTACAGCCAGCTCATCAACACGGAAGGTAGGTAGTTGGTCAAGGTGCGAACAGCCTGTCGTAGAAGTGTTGCCCACTAACCTAGCATTACGAATGAGGAGATAGTCTGTGTGCCTCGTGATTGTTGGTGATCAGAAGGATATCGTCCATGCTGACCATAGTAAAGGATCGAAATACTTTCCTCGAAACAGATATATCTCCCGACTCCAAGCTTCCGGAGGCGGTTTCAATAGGGCCAAAATTGATCATGACGAAGAAAGCTACAGGCGGCCCACCTCCGTCACAACGCCCCAGGAGCCAGTGTGTATTGCGCACGAGGCTGGATTACTCAGGGCACTTTTTCGGAAATTCTGCTCATGTTCGATCATCGTGATCCTTGATGGTGTACTTCAAGCAAATGCCTATGCAACAATTTCTTCCTCAACATTGAGCAGTTTCGTGACGCCTTCTCAGCTTCAAGATGACGAATCATATACTCCGTGAAGGATTCTGCTCAGTGACAGATTTCGCTCTGTGCAGGACTATCTGTGACGGTGATGCTGCGAGATGACACGCCTGAAAGACTCAATGGTGATGTTCTCAATTCACCTTGCGGAGGACGAAATGTGTCATTTTTCTCGATATTCTATAACAATGAGCCTCGCGGTAGTATTAGCTATGCAATTGGAGCGCTCATTCCGCCTCTTTCGATATCTTCGACCTGTCGAAACTGCTGATCACCACCACCAGTGCAGAGAACGAGCAACGAAGACACGCGATACCCATCATCATCATCGTCGTCGTCGTCATCATCATGACCGACACCAAAAGTCGGCAAGAGGAAGAAGAAGAATTACCAATTCACCAGAGCCTCGTCCTATACTTCACCAGGTGCGGATGCACGTACTACCACACCACGCCACATCAGATCCCACGAGACGACCGCGAGCCAGCGAACGACTAGCCCAGCCGAGAAATGGTACCTGACGGTTCAGGTGTGCTGAAGCCTATGATGGTGCGGAAGGCTTGCATCGAAGGCAACTGCCGTGCGCACGATCTCGAGATGATACTCGATATCCTCGAGGAAGAAAGGCGCCCTCCGGATACACGTCCGGACGACGACTCCGAGAAGAGAGATGATCATCTTCGGTTGGCGATGGTGGGAAGCGAGACGGCGAGGAAGTATCGCGCCATGAATTCTTTTAAATGCGAAATGGAGTGTGCAGTTCCGAGATGCCGTCGACCTGCACATGCCGCTGCATCGGGCGAGTTTTCAGCCTCAAGCGGATGATGCCTTCACTGATGAAGAGAAAAAGAGGTTTCCGTGGATCATCGGTAAGCACGGGTTTGCTGCTATTGCTGATGATACTGATGATGTCAAGACGGTACCGGCAGCTGAAAATCCTCGATGTCGGTCTTGTGGGGGTTAAAATAGTATGGCAAGGCTGAGCTCAAACTGAGCATATCGAGCATATCACTCCTCCTCGATTTCTTCGGTATCTTTTGCATGGCCCGTCTCTCCATTGGCCTGAGCTCTAGCTTCCTGCTTTCTGTACAGACCAGCGAGGAAATCAGATGTGCTTGCCTCCTCAATACTCTTGTCTTCTCGAACTTTCAGAAAGCGAGGGAAACGCAGACTCAAGCCCCGCTCGTCACTAACCAATCCAATGGCCGCGGTATATGTTGGGCTCAGAGTTATGTCGGCAAATGCCATCTCCCATACTTCTTGCGGCTCGAACCAAACATCGGGATGTCCGCCATATTCGACATAGCTTGGTCGCGCTATGACATTATCACCGTCTTCGCTGTATTTCTCTTTGTTGGCCTGGTAGAACTTGTCGGTAAAGCCGGATATGCATTTGGTGACGACTTCGAGGGAGCCTGTAACTGGATTACGACAAGCTAGCAGGATCGGTGACCACCATTTGGCCTTTCGACCTTGACCGTGCCAGCCAGCCACAGGGATGAGGTCTATCGTGTCGGCAGCAGTATTGTAGTCCTTTTTGACCTTGAGCCAAGAATCAAGACGTTTATCGGGTTCATAAGTGGCAAGGAGCGCTTTTCTCCTCGTTCCTTTCTCCTTCTCTTCTTCCTTTGCAACTTTGACTCGGTTTCCTTTCTTGGGCTTAGAAGGTGTCACCGGTGTAGGCGTATTGAGCTGAGCATCATCCTGTACCTCCGTCTGCAGGTCGGGATTTGGTAGATTGTCAAGCACTTTTACCATGATGCCCTCGCATTTGAAGTCGGTGGCACTCTTGAAGAATTCGAGGACAGTCTCCGATTCTGCTGGTGACGCATCAATACTTCGGACCCAGGTAAAGTGGTGCTCTTTTTCAATGAACATGCTGCGTAACAATCCCCGTCGTTCTCTGAATGGTCTATTAAGAAGTTCTTCACCATTCAGATACATCAGATCGAACGCGAAGAGACAGACATCGACTTTGATGCTGCCAATGTCAACATCCTTCCGAGCACGATTCGTCAGGGTCTGAAAGGTCCTTAAGTCTCCTGTCTCTCGGTCGACTGCCACCACTTCGCCCTCAAGGATAAAACTTGACACTCCATCTCCCCTGATCTCAGGAACCAGTTTGACAAGATCCGGGTATTTGTCCGTCATGACTTCAAGGTGACGGGAGAAGATTGAGACTTTGCCCTTATCATCACAATGAACTTGTGCACGTTGCCCATCATACTTGAATTCGCAGCCGAAATCTCTGCCCTGTAATTTGGTAAGCATCTCGCCTAAATCACGAGTGATGCTTCCCAGCATGGGTCGCAGCGGTATATGCAACGCAAGGCCACACCGCAGCAGCAGCTCCTCACATACGCCCACCTCCAGAAGGCCAGGGACGATATCATTGTAGTTTGGACGGCGAGCAAAGCATGCCTTGACCGTCTCCTCAGCCTTTGACCAAATGGCGGCGAGCTCATCCTTCTTCAACTTTGCAAGCTCAGAGCGCTGGAGAATTTCGAATTCAGCCCCAGCAGGTTTCGAAAGCAGAAAAGCTCGAGCGAGTGCGATGAGCATGGTAGTCTTTACTGCTCCGATACGGAGATGCTGAACAAGAGTTCGAACGATGTATCTACTCTCCTCAGCGCCTCTAGCATCTTGCACAAGTCTTTCCACGATTCTCTGCTTGTTCTCTACGCTGCCATTGCCTTTGCTATTGGCAATCTTGACAAGCGACTGATAGACTCCTTTAATGGTCAATGGCTTCGGCTTTCTCAGAGTAAAGCTTTGCTTCTTCTTCGCTTCAAATGCCACATCACCTGCATCACCGTACTTATCGTATAACGTCTTCAACCCTCCACTGTCCAGCCCGCAAACTTTCTTCAGGGCTTTCGATATTGCCGAGCCGCCCAGCCCCAGCTCCAAGGAGATATACGATGGGGATATTGAATTCGTCGCTAGCCACACGGCAGGCAGCAAGCTGTCTGGATCTCCTTCAATGATTGTCCGGAGGCAATTGACAAGTGTGTCGACGATTTTGATGCGGCTTTGCGTGCTGTTGATCAGGATGAAACACCTCGTTAGGAGAGAGTAAAACGCATTGCCACCCTCTGATGCCCAATAACTTCTTAGCTCGGACACGTAGTCTTGGGGATCGAAGGTCAGAGGACTTTGGTCGAATGGAACAGTAAGGGTGACTGTATCTTCAGCAGATCCCGCCGACTGCAGAGAAAGCACCGTAGGTGCACCGTTTCCGTGAACACGGCCTGCTGTGTCCTTCGACTGCTCTCGTAGCTTAACTGACTCATCTTCCAAAGACTGGTCTCCCTCATTGAAGAATGCGTGATCCTGGTTTGATTCTGGTGCTGGGTCTGCTTGGGTTTTCGCCTCATGCTCATTGTCCCATGCCTGTTGTAACTGTCTTGCGAATTGCTCATCGTCTTGATGCATATTCATCCCACCCGCTGATTTCTCTTCTGCTTGTCCATTGATACCATCCACAGCTGTCTTGGTTGTCTTTGTGTCTTCGCCTCGAGCTTTGGCATTCTGCTTTGCGAAGAAGAAGTCCAGACTTTTTACCGGCAGAGGGGACGCTTTGCTGCCATTCTTCTTCCTGCGTTTGGCAGGACTCTCCATGGCTTGATCGCATTGATCTCCCAACCTCTCCTCGCAGCTACTGTTGTCGTTCAACCATTTTTGTTTTGGAAAAGTGAACACAACGTCATTGACGTACAGCTGTCTCAGACGCGTTCCTCCGCATTCACAACTTCAACTTTTTTCACAGAAAGCCACCGAAGAAAGAACACCGACGAACCGGCCTATCACCGAGACAATGGCTTCTTTGACACGTGCTTCTAGCTCGGAGATGGATACAAGAGTAAAAGATTATCTAGACGACAAGATACAAACTGCGGCGGACTTTGAAGGCCTGGAGGTATTGCTTCAACAAGCCAGGACTCAGCAGCAACTGCTGAAGAAACAGGTTCGGTCTTTCATTGGCCTTCGCGGGCAGCATACTGATCTATGTGTAGCTCGAGGAAGCCAGTTCAGACTTCGAAAGGGCCACACAAGCCCTTCACGAGCATGAGACCAGCATCCAAGAGAAGGCGGAGAGCTACCAGGAGCAACAATCCGATATTGATCGAAGACTGATTTATATCACTGAAGCTACAACAAGCGATGATGCTGTCAAAAAGTTCGAGACCAGCATGGCAAAACTTCGCCGACTCGATCTTGCTACCGGTTATCTTCAACTACTGCAAGAAGTAGATGTTCTATGGTACGTCTGCTGGTCATGTTTCGAGGCATTGAAGACTGACGTTGGTAGTGAACAAGCCCGAAACGATAGCAAAACCTCAGCGCGATTAGCCATACCTGCCTACACTCGGTTGCGCTCACTTGTTAAGGCATTACACGATGGGCAGCCTGCAGCGGAAGGTGCTGCACCGCATCTAGTGGATCATGTTGAACAGCAGACGTCAAAAGTGTATGCCCTGCTGAAGGAGGCCTTGAGCAGCGACCTAAACAAAACCCTTGATCAAATGGGGTGGCCGAAAAAGGATATGCACTTGGACAGCAAAATGGTTGCGAATTGGACGGAGCAAGTTAACACTCTACTAGACTTGCAAGTACCGGATCTGTTGTTGGAATCTACCAAAACGCATAATGAACCCTCGAATGCACAGCCGAAAATTCTACTGCCATTAGAGGTCATGGTTCATCCTTTACAGCTCCGGTTCAGATATCATTTCTATGGGAAACGAGCCACCAATCGATTGGATAAGCCAGAATACTTTCTTTCTCACATCCTCGATCTTCTGGAAGACCATAATGGCTTTCTGGTGGACTATTTGCAACCAGTGTTGGACGATAGATTCCGCGCCGTGCCTGAATTGGAGGATGTCCTCTATCCAGACGCAACGTCTGCTTTCATTTCTGCTCTGCTGCCAATGGTTAGTGCAAAAGTACTTACTCTCCTTCCTCAAATCTCCTCGCAACCGCAACTGTTTTCACATTTCATGCACGAGCTGATGTCGTTCGATACCACAATACGCGACTCTTGGGCCTATACACCGACGCCCCACTCTTTGTCAGACTGGAAAGGCCTCACCTGGTCTGTCTTGGTCACGCACGAGTACTTTGAATCGTGGCTCAAGGTCGAGAAAGAGTTCGCGTTAGCAAGATACGAAGCCATTATTGCAGCATCTGACAGCGGAGAAATTGACTACGACAGCACAGAGCCAGGGTCAACAAAACCAACCAAGAGTGCTATCCGGGTCAACGACCTCCTGGAAACAATCACAGATCGCTACAGACCGCTTTCTTCTTTCAGCCATAAATTGAGATTTCTTATTGATATACAACTTGAAGTCTTTGATCAATACCACCAACGGCTTCATGGAAGTCTCGAGAGGTATATCATGGACACTTCAACACTAGGCAAAGTGATTCAAGGATCTACAGGGACTGCCAACGACGCTAGAGGCATAAACAACGTGAGCGGAATGTATGGTCTTGAAAGTCTGAGCAAAGTCTTTGGCAGCGCCGAGTATCTTGAGCGCAAGATGTCAGATTGGGGAGACGACATCTTCTTCCTCGAACTTTGGGAGGAGCTGCAGGACCGCGCACGGCGAAATGCTGGCTCAAAAGGGACCGTCGGTCGTGACCTACCAACGTCTGATGTCGCGTCCAGAACATCAGCCTCTATCAATCAAATAGATGATCCCGATAGTGGGGAACCAGATGGAGGAGCGCTCTTCGATGAGACAGCGTCGGCCTATCAACGACTCCGATTAAAGGCCGAGGAGCAGATCAATGAACTCCTCATCAGCGCCGTCACTGCTTCTCTACGACCATACTCCAAAGTCGCTGGCTGGTCATCCCTCATCTCCTCTGGCACCACTGCCTCCATGCATTCATCTTTCACCCCAACATCCGCCTTAGACATGCCCCTCCAACTCCTCTCTGACTATCTCTCCTTTCTCGCAAAAGTCCTAGCAGCATCTCCTCTACGACGTATAACCCGCCAGCTCTGTCTCGCGATTCAAAAATACATCTGGGACAATGTTCTCATGCGTCATAACTTCTCAGCGAGTGGAGCAGAACAGCTAAAGGGTGACGTGGAGGCGATTGAAAAGGTCATTGATGCCTCTATATACCAACCTGGCGAAGCGGCGAGGGGGATGAGGAGGTTGAACGAAGGAATTAGGTTACTTGGATTGCCGATCAGGCCTTCTACAAGTAACTCGAAATCCGTTGCTGCTGCTGGAGTGGATGAAGAGATGGAGAAGGAGGAAGGATGGGGCTTTGACAACGACAACGACAACGATGACAGCGACGAGGGAGCAACTGCAGCAGCGGGCGCGGAGTCAGATGGAGGATCAGACACCTCTAACAAGGACGCCAGCGGCGGTGATAGAGTCTTTTCTCTTTGGGAAGTGGAGAAACGCGTCTTCAAATCCAACGAGTCAGCTAGAAATGTCCTGCTGGACATGGGAATCGAGACACTGAGCGAGTCGGATGCGAGAGCGGTTTTGGAACGCAGGGTGGAGGTTGGGAGCTGAGCATCAGGATCTATAAGTAGCGGTGGGAAAGGTAGGGGATGAAGCCATGCTGGACAGAGCAAGAGGTGCAACGCAGCTGGTGGGAGAGCCGTTGATCAAATCAGGCCCAAAGCACTCCAGATATCCGGGTCGATTGGGCCACTGAGGGAGGAAGTCTGCTATCTCCTCTTAACTTACGCTGTCCCGGTTTCTCCCATACCTTGACGCCAAATCTTGGCCCACCACTTCCCTCACTGTGTCTTCAATCCACTTTCCGCTTCTTTCGTGTTTTTTTTTTCTCCGGCCCTCCTCTTTGCCGTCAATCCACCCCAATCGGCCACACCGCCACACGTACACGCCAGCTACATACCGCGAAGAGATGCTCCCTGCCTGCCTGCCTGCCTAACCCCATCCCTCCCTTCTTATCCTGCGTACGTGCGTGCGCTAGCGTATTGGTTCAAGCAAGCAAGCAAGCAAGAACTCAATCGAGCGCGCCTCCCTTCCCCTTCCGTCCTTCCATCATTATTACTCCGTTCCCGCTCCCGCTCCTTCCCAGCACCAGCACCAGATCCCCATCTCTCTCCCTATTTTCCAATCCAGACCCCTCGATCTCCCTATCAAGTCAGCAGGACCATTCC